CCCCAAAATGTCCCAGCCCCACCCCTTCCAAGGCCACGCCCCCTGACCCGCAGGCCACGCCCTATTTATGGCTCCGCCCACAGCGCCATCAGAGCGCTCTGATTGGTCCGCCCTGGTCCCTCCCCCAGCTGGAGCGCTCCCGGCGGCCCCCGCTGTCAATCACAGCCAGCGCCTCCATTGATTGGGTGATGCCTCATCTCACGCGCCTTTCCATTGGCTGATGCTGCCGGTGGGGTCCGCCTCCTCCGGTCACCTTATTTGTTGTCTGTCCCGCCCTCCCTCGTGTCTCCGCTTCCCATTGGGTACCTGCCGTGTCAATCACTCCAAACCCCACCTCCCTGCCTCTCCATTGGCTATGCTCTCTTTTCCTTCCTATTGGTCGCTGTGCTGTCAATCACCTTTTCGCTACCGCCTATTGGTGGAGCTTGGCGGGGCGGTGCCCTTCTCACACCCCATTGGCGGAGCGCGAAGGCTGGCTCTGCGCTGATTGGTGGAAGCTCCTCTTAGTCCCGCCCCCTCCGTGAGGGCTTGGCGGAGCCGCTGTTTGTGCGCTCGGGGCCGCGCCGGGAGGGCCCGGAGGTACCGGGGGGAGGGCCCGGAGGGACCGGGAACGCTCCGGGGGCGGCACCGGGCACTGAGGGCAACCGGGCACCGAGGGCAAGCGGGAGGGACCGCGCAGCGCCGGGCCCGGGGCGCTGAGGGCTCTGAGGGCGGGACCCCCTCGGTGGGGATTTGGGGAGGGGGTTTGAGGCCTGAGGAGCCGCGGCCGCCTCATCCCGGGGGGGTTCCGGGCCGGGATCCCCCGGAGGAGTCGCGGCCTGGCCGGGTTGGGGTTGAGGGGAGCGGCACTGCTTCGTTATGAGGGGCTTCCCCCATTTTGGGGGCATTTTTTCGGCTCCCTCCCCATTATTGGGTTGTTTTTCCTCTCTCGTTGCTATTTTGGGAATGTTTTCCTCGCTGTTTTAGGGCTTTTCCCTTTCTCTTTTCCGTTCTGGGGGTGTTTCTCCTCCTCATTATGGATTGTCCCCGGGATTTGGGATTCCCTGGAATCTGAGATTGCTCAGAATTTGGGTTCCCCCAGGATTTGGGATTGTCCAGGACTGAGACGCCCCCAGAGTTTGGGATTCCTTGGAATTGGGGCTCCCCCCGAAGTTTGGATTCTCTGGAATTTGGGATCCTGCAGAACTGAGCTTCCCCCAGAATTTGGGGCCTCCCTCAGATCCGAGGCTTTCCAAGAATTTGGGATTTTCCAGACCTGAGTCTTCTCCAGAATTTGGGATCTCTCAGAATCCAGGCTCCCCCAGAACCAGAACCAGGCCTCACCCACAATTTGGGATTCCTTGGACTTGGGGCTCCCTGAACTGAGGCTCACCCAGGTTTTGGGATCCCCTGGAATCTGGGATCCTTGCCCAGAACTGAGGCTCCCCCTGAATTTGGGATCCCAATCACCCAACTGGGTGATCCCATCCTGGAAAGTTGATCCCAGTGACGTGATCCCATCCCAGTGTGGTTGATCCCAGTGACGTGATCCCATCCCAGTGGGGTGATCCCACTCCAGGGGTTGATCCCTGTGGGTGATCATCCTATCCCAGGGCTGATCCCAGTGTGATGATCCCATCCCAGTGTGGTTGATCCCAGTGGGGTGATCCCATCCCAGTTGAGTCATCCCAACAGGGTCATCCCATCCCAGTGTGATGATCCCATCCCAGTTGGGTTATCCCAGTGTGGTGATCCCATCCCTGAGGGCTGATCCCATTCCAGGGGCTGATCCCATCCCAGTATGATAATCCCATCCCAGTATCATGATCCCATCCCAGTATGATAATCCCATCCCAGTATCATGATCCCATCCCACTGGTCAGTCCCATCCCAGTGGTCAATCCCAACAGACCCATTCTTGTCCCCACAGGATCACGGTGGGAGCCGATCCCAACTGGTCCCAGCCCGTCCCAACTGGTCCCAGCCCATCCCAGGCGGTCCCAGCCCATCCCAGCCGGTCCTAACTGGTCCTAACCCATCCCAGCCGGTCCTAACTGGTCCTAACTGGTCCCAGGTGGTCCCAGCCGGTCCCAGCCTGCGGTGGCTCGGGGGCCATGGCCGGGCGCGGGGCCCAGCGGCCCAATGGGCACTCGCAGCCCAGTAAGATCTGCCAGTTCAAACTGGTGCTGCTGGGAGAGTCGGCCGTGGGCAAATCCAGCCTGGTGCTGCGCTTCGTCAAGGGCCAGTTCCACGAGTACCAGGAGAGCACCATCGGCGGTGAGCTGGGCTCGGGGGGGTCCCACGGGGGTCTGGGGGGTCCCAAAGGGCTCTGGGGGGGTCCCACGGGGCTCTGGGG